CCCACTGTGTGGCTGGGTCTCATCCCGTCCATGGTGCCCACTGTGTGGCTGGGTCTCATCCCGTCCATTGGGGCCCACTGTGTGGCTGGACCTCATCCCGTCCATGGGGCCCACTGTGTGGCTGGGCCTCATCCCGTCCATGGGGCCCACTGTGTGGCTGGACCTCATCCCGTCCATTGGTGCCCACTGTGTGGCTGGGCCTCATCCCGTCCATGGGGCCCACTGTGTGGCTGGGCCTCATCCCGTCCATGGGGGCCCACTGTGTCGCTGGACCTCATCCTGTCCATTGGGGCCCACTGTGTGGCTGGACCTCATCCTGTCCATTGGGGCCTGAAGAGAGCACACAGGAACTGTACCCACCTGACCACTGAGCTGGGACATCAGTGACCCCCTGAGGGGCCAGGTAGGACAGGGGTAGGTAAGCAGCAACTCCTGGCCTGGAGCAGCAACTCCTGGCCTGCAGCACCCACAGTGGACCCTTAGAGGGTCCCTCCTGCATTGACCAAGAGACCCTCAACATCAGTGGTAGAGGGGCCGGTTCCCCCTCCAGACCCTGAGCCTCACCCCGGGGACATGGGCTGTGACTGCTCCCATACCTCACTCTCCTCTCTCTGGTACATGTGTTCCCCAGAGCTGCGCACATGACCAGAGGGCCACCCCGTTTGTTCTGCGTGGAGCCGTCTGGAGCTCCATCTTCTTGTGACTGCTCTCAGAGGAAAGTCCCCAGTGAGGGCACCTCTGGAGGCAGAATGCTGGGTTGACACAGGGCAACCAAACACAACACATTTTAACTGAGGGGCTGTCGCCAGGAAGCTGCCAGCACACCAACGTGCACGTCCCCAAATTCAGTCAAGGATCGTGGTTCTGGGCCAGGACGCGGAGACGCACAGCTGTGCTTTCTCACGGCCTCATTGCAGTCTGGTCTGTACTCCTGAGCGCTGCCTTCTGGCCCCAGCCCTGTGGTCAGCTGTCACGGAGGGTAGCTGCTCCTTGGGACAAGTGTGTACTCTGAGTCCCACTGACACCAATGCCTGTACTGAAGGCCCACATGTACACCGGGGAGAGCCCTCACTCTCCCAGAAACTGTTTGTGTGCCCCACTGTGTCAGACACTGTGCAGTGTGGGCCCTGCCAGACGTCACCTGCCCCTGCTACACACCGGTGCTGCTGGCCACTATCCTCCAGGGACAGCCTGAATCCAGTGCTCTAGGACCTGGGGTGGTTTGGAGCTTTGAAAAAACCAAATGGTCATGTACGAGCTCCAGGACCCCCCAGCCAGGCACCCCTGGCAGGCTAGGCTCTCTGCAATCCCGTTTTGGACAGAACTGAGAGGGATTTGGCCGCCCTCCTGGGACTTCATCTGCAGAGGGCTCTGTCCTGCCTGGACGCGGCCCTGTTTGTTCTCTGCAGTTCCCTGCTCTGCCAGCTCGCTGCTGAGCTTCCGGCATCATCTGAAGCTGGGACAATACTCTCACTAATTAGCATGAAACATTCACATACTAGAATCCTTAAAGAAAAGTTAAGAGTTTATTGTTGACTTTTTTAAAGATCTGAACAAACCTATGTCAAGTTAATGCCAGAAACCACCAGGACTGTGGGGTAAAGCTGGACACCTCAGTGTCAGGTGGGCATGTGCCTGGTTCTTAGATGGGACCCATGTTCAGGGACATTTGGCCCAACAGTGGTTCTGCTTGCCCACCTCTCCCTATGGGCTCAGGCTTGTGCTGGACCTACAGAAAGGAAATTGCACATCGCAAACCACAGGACCACAGTTACCTTGTGAACCACAGGACCGTAGTTACCTTGTGAACGGGGAAGGCAGAGCCGGCTCTCCCCTCTCAGAGCAGTCCCACCATGGTTGGCACCATGGGCCTCCAGCTCGGGGGGTGGACAGGCTGCACCATCGCTGCTTGCCGCCTTTGTCCAAGCATTCCCCAACACAGTGACTGAAGCATGGTGCTAGAACGGCAAGGTCAGGCCAAGGTTAATGTCTCTCTGGGCAGGGCTTCCCCTGTGACGCTGTGGTGCAGTTTTCTAGAGGATGGGAATAGCTGGAGCAGATATGGAGTTCAGGTCTCTGTTAAATTCCGAGGGAAGAATGTAGGAGCCCTGAGAACCCAGCTGCTTGGGACCCACTGAGGATGGCAGGGTAATGCTGCTGACCCACTGACATCAAGCAGTCAGGGTAACTGCACCCTGCACCCTGCTCTCTGGGGGCATGATCCTGCCGGGGTGGAGTAGGAGTTCAACCAGTGTACCAGGCTGAGCAAAGCCACAGGGAGAGGGGAGCAGAGCCTAGTGAGGTGTTTGGGGCAGGGGGCTAAGATCACTACACTCAGAACCAGGAGAGAATCAGAGGCTGGAAGGAGGGCACAGGGGCTCACGTGTGCACTAATACCGCCACAGAGAAGAGTCCTGCCTACATGAAGGGTCCAGTGGCACAGATCCCAAAAGCAAGCTAACAGTGGGACACAGCAGTCACACAATCAGAGGCCTCAGTGGCCCCACCACACAGACTCTTGGAGGCCTGGGATGGAGCTCCAGCCACTGGGGCTGCTCCTCTGAGCACCCTCCTCACAAGGAGGCACAAATGCCCCAGGCCGTGTTGCCTCATACGGTCTCTGCCACGGCTCTGCCAACATTTTATATAACATGCAGTGGGGCTCCCCAAATTCTGCTGGGCTGCACCCCTTTCCTGCTTCTGTCTCTGCTGAGACTCCTCCCTGACCTGACCTGGACAGCCAACGCCCCATGGTCCGTGTCTAGGAACAGCTCTCCCTCTATGGGGGATGGCCCCAGCCCCTGGTCTGGAGCCTGACAGGGGTCTTTCCCTGCCTCCGTCCCATATTGGGCCTGACCATCCATGACCTGACTGCAGCCCAGAGAGGAAGCTGGGGCTCTAACTCAGGCTGCTCATGCGTCAGCTGCTGTGCACATCGCTGACTCACCCTGCTCATCTCCTGCGCATCTGGGGTCCTTCTGCGGGAATTAGGGCCTGGTTTAAAAAGAAGAAAGAGCAGGCAAACATATGATTCAAAAGGAGAGTATGTCTAAAGGTTACTGCTTTCTTCCTGACCCTATCAGAACAAGCCTTTCTAAGAAGCAGGACAAAGCCTTAGTGAGGACTGCTTGACGTCCCCTTTGTGGTGAGGGCCTGGACAAACCGTCACACCCATGGAGCCTGTCCTAGGAGCAGCTTGAGACAGTGTTTAGCAAAAATGCACAAAGGGCCTTAAGAGAAAGTAATGACAAATGTGACTATGAAAAAACATTCGTAATCAAGCTGGAATGGCTATAGCACCTGGACAAAGTATTCACTCCCATCTGACAAAGGCTCAGTTTCTTCAACAGGTAAAAAGCATTTACCCATCACTTGGAATAAAGGATTTTAGAGTGCTGATAAAAATATGGGGATAGGAAATGAACCAACCACAGAAAATAAAGTGGCTTTTTTAAGCACATGAAATGATGCTGAACTTTGCTAATAATAAACGCAACGCACATTGAAAGTAGGCCCACCTCACAAAATCTCAAAACTGCACATGCTGGTGTGGATGTGGAGAGAAGGGAACACTTTTACACTGCTGGTGGGACTGCAAACTAATATAACCTTTTTGGAAAAAAGTATGGAGAAACCTCAAAGAACTCAACCTAGACATCACATTTGATCCTGCAATCCCATTACTGGGCATCTACCTAGAAGTAAAAAAATCTTTTTACTACAGGGTACTTGCACCAGATTATTTATCGCAGCTCAGTTTACGATCACCAAAATGTGGAAACAGCCTAAAAGCCCACCAACCCAGCAATGGATTAACAAGCTATGGTTTATGTATATCATGGAATACTACTCAGCCATTGAAAAAGATGGAGACTTTATATCCTTTGTATTAACCTGTATGGAAGTGGAACACATTATTCTTAGTAAAGCATTACAAGAATGGAGAAGCATGAATCCTATGTACTCAATTTTGATATGAGGACAATTAATGACCTAGTACACGGTGGGGAGCGGGGGAAGGGGGGAGCAGAGAGAGAGAGAGTAGGAGGGGGTGGGAGAGGGAAGAGCAGATAGAAGAAAGAAGGGAGTGGGGTGGGGGTCTCTGTGTGTTAAACACCTTTGGGGGCAAGAGACAATTATAGGAGGGACTTTACCTAACAAATGCAATTAGTGTAACCTGGTTTCTTGTGCCCTCAATGAATCCCCAATAATAATAATAATAAAAAAGAAAGTAGGAGATTAACCTAAAAGGCAATGGGGGTTTCTAAGTTGTCCAATGCACATTTACCCCGAGTGGCCTCCGTCTGCGCTCCTCCCATGGGACCAAGAGGTTCAGCCTGGGAAGGCCCTGCGGCTGCCTGCAGAAGTACAGACGTGGTCAGCACAGGGTGCTTCCCACAGTGAAGGGACTGCCCAGGAGAAAGGCCAGGCACATAAGCTGTGGGTACCTTGCTGAGTCTGAAGAGCAGCGACAGGAGCTGGGCCCCTGGAGAAGCCAGGAAGGCACACAGGAGACCGGTCCTGAAGGGCCTAGGCATCACGCCAGGGGGGCCGACATCCAACAGGAGCTGCAACAACCCAACAGCAGCTATTACATCAACCCGAAGGCTCCAGAGGCCCTCCTCAGGAATCTGGCCCTTCTATCCCAGGAGTAAAAAACAAACAAACAAATAATCACAAGAAATTATTTTGTTTTCCTCATGGAAAAGTCTTTTGGCGTTTGCACTAGAGTGTTTTATTGCAGCTCAATTCACATCACCAAGACATGGAAACCACCTAAATGCCCATCAAGCCAGGAATGGATTCACAAACTGTGGTGTATGTATACCACAGACTGCTATTCAGCCATAAATGATGGAGACTTTACACCTTGGATGGAGTTGGGGAACATTCTACCGAGTAAAGTATCACAAAAATGGAAAACCAAGCATCCAATGTACTCAATACTAATATGAAATCAGTAGATGAACAACTACATGCCACACAAGGAAAAAAAAGCCACAATTAAATTCAAGTAGTAGGGGAGGGTGAGGAGAAGGGAAGAGGGGCTTGGTCAGCTCTCACCTAACAGGCACATTGTAGGGTACATGGTGCATCTCCTGGGTCAGAGTCAGCTACAACTTGGACTTTACCTAACAAACACAAACCTAATATAACCTGATCATTGGTATTCTTATATTAATCTGAAATTTAAAAAAAAAAAGAAAAGTCCTGTTGGGTTGACCAAATGCTTGCAAGCTCCATGGTTAGTACTCCCTACACTCTGGGCATCAGCATCCCCAGTGCACGATCAGGAGAAGTGGTGGGTCTGCAGGCTGAGATTAGACGACTCATCCCCCTCAGACGAGAGGCCAGCCATCCTGACTCAGGCCCCAGGCTCATCCCAGGTGCACAGAGCTGTTCCCTTCTTGGTATTTGACACTCTGTCATCATCTTTTCTATAAGTTCTATGAACATGTTATTTTTTTTAAAAAAAATCTTGCCAATCCCTATGTTATCAGACCCTTCTGACAGCTTTCAGTACTGTGTGAGAAGCCACCAAGCCCCGCTGTCCTGTGGGTGACTCGCTGGCCCCCGCCTCTGAGAAAGACCCTGTCACCAAGTTTCTCAGCCTTGTTCGGCTGTATGAACCCAGTTGGGCCCATAAATGGCCATGAGGTTGTCCTGGAAAATGAGTCTGTTTTTCCCTCATCCCAAAATGAAAGGCAGTGTCTGCATCTTAAGTGCTGGTGGTGATTTAGAGTTAATTGTCTATTCTCACGAGGAACAGTCAGGCCACAGTTGCTAATGCAAACTGGCATCCCAAGGGCAAATGTGCTCATCAGAACTGCCCTCTGTTTTCCTGGCTAGAGGATTTGTTTAAGATTTGAATGAATTGCCAACCCTAAAAAACAATGAGGAAATTCTCATAAGACAGTTCAGTCTGCCAACTTGTCTGTCAAAGCCCTGCTTCTTGGCACTGTGCAGTGAACTCCCACTGGCAGCCACCAGCTGAGTACAGGGCTGCACTGACACCACCCAGGGCCCACCACTCGGCACACCCCTGCAGGCCCAGTTTAAACCTTCCTCAGAGGACTGGGAGCTTTGTTAACTCCTTACTCAAGATGGACCATGCCATCACTCTGGGGTCTGGAAGCCACTGTGAAGAGTGACACCTCCCACCTGGTCTTGCCCTACAGCAGTGACCAATGACACTTCCCACCTGGTCTTGCCCTGCAGCGGTGATCAGGGCAGTGAGACACGCGTAGACACACAGCAGGGAGAAGGTCACGGTGAGGCGGGGCGTGTGCAGGTACCTGCTGGAGGAGGGCCGGCTGTACACTGAGAGCCAGACGTGGAAATCCTCCAGGTACTCTGTGAACTTACAGTAGAAAAGCTGAAACAGAAACCAGCCGGAGAAGTGCTCTGGGACTTTGGACATTTACGTGAGCAGGATAACATCCTCACTGATCACCAGGAATTGGGGCAGAGCCCCACACGTGCTTGGCTCAGCTCTTCTGCCTGGCTGCTAGCTGGATGCTGGGTGGGGGGCTATGGGTCCAGGTGGACACCCTGGGTGGTGCCCCCAGCCCATGGCAGTGGCTGCTCCTTCCACTAACCTGGCCAAGCTCCCACCACACTGGACTCTGGCACCAGCTCACGAGATCACCCTCTAGAGCCTCTGCCCATTCCTCTCCTTTGCATCCGAATGGACTTTCAACTGTCCCCTACACAGACTCTCAGCACTTTCCTGGACACACAGGGAATTTTAACTGGGCTTTGAGTGCACCAAGATGGGACCATGTCCCGTCCACCTCTGTTCTCAGCAGTCCGCTGAGTGTCTGCCGTGCAGCAGGAGATACGTTGCTCAGGAACTGCACTGGATTTTAAGTTTCAAGTCAATGAAAATGATGCTTGGTGCTCGACACTGTTCTAGATAAAACAGAATTATATCTAGGACTGATAGTTTGTAAAATGAGCAGAACACAGCAGCAAATACCAGCCAACTGGTTTTTACAGCCAGAGAATGTATCTTTTCTATGTGAAAGGACTGGTCAACAAGTGAGCACTGATTCATAGGACACAGCTGCAAGTCTTATACAGGACTAAATGGGTGGGTAAAGGTTTCTAGCAAAATGTTCTCAAGCAAAACAGCTGGAGAACATATGAACCATATATGTGTCCCATCGTCCAGTATGGTCAGTCAGTTTACCTGGTCACTCTCATGAGGAAACAATTGTCAAAGGACAAGTTTTAGGTGTTGAAGGGCTTTGTATGCTGTGCCTGAATGAAACTCATTGCCAATCCACTGTCATCATGAGCAACACCAGGCCTGGAAACGCCCGGGTCAGAGCCTGGCCCTCTCACCATGGCAGGCACAAGGGGGGAGTTGGAAAGAAAGCCCCCTGGCCTGGCAAGATCTCGTGGGGCAACAGCAGCCCTCACTGGGTTCTCACTAGCCTCAGGAATCATTCACCAGAGATGCAAGATCACGCACTCAAGTGCTTCCTACGGCATTTTCTGTCACCCTAATAAAAGAAAGAAAGTTGTCCAGGCCCAGCAGCTGTGTGCTTCATCAGAGAACAGTGCCTAGTGGGCCATTAGATGGCCCTTAAATTATTTTAAAGAAAATTCACTGAAAAAAATAAAAAAAGAAAATTTATGAAGAGATTCTACCCTAAAATGTTATATTAGAAAGTGCACAATGCACAGCATTATCACTACAAGTGTGTATATTTGTATATGGGGAAAGCTGGAAAGGAACATGCAAATCTCAGAACTTTCAGTTAGTTTGTGAGGTTATCAGTCGTTTGTCACTTTCACCATCTACTCCATCTGGGCCCTCACACATCTGGATTATTCTGTTGATTATTACGTAGGTTGTTGAGAATGCATACGGGGCACTAGGAAGTCTGTAATTAGGGTCCTTCTGGACGGCAAAGACCACCCCCAACCATAAGTTCCAGAAATGTCATAACAGTTACGATCAAAAGGATCGTAGGATCAAAAGGAAGGGAGTTCTGTAATAGTTAATAAATGGCAGAAGTGATTGATCCGTGCACAGATGGCCATGTAACAAATGCGTCATTTAGGATATAAATATCTCAATAATTAACTAAGAAATGAGTTAATACAATTAATTTTAGAGGAGTTTAAAGAAATAACTGCACTGAGAGAAGCAGGGCCAGGTGCCACATTAGGCTGGATGGGGCCTACCTTCCAGAAGCCGAGCCCCCCATGCAGACAAGTGAGTTCCCGTTCCACACGGCCGTCGCACCAGCTTGCCGAGAGCCAGCACTGGGCAGGGAAAAACCAGCCCTGTCTTGTGTGCAGCGCCTTCACCATCACGTGGCTGAGGAACCAGCCCGGGGAAGGCCCACTGCTGTCGTGCCAGAGGCGGACCTTCCGCAGTGGGCCCAGCTGGTCAGGAGCGCTGATGACACACACAACAGAGTCTCATCAGTCAGGAGTGTGGGTCCTGGAACTGCACCAGCCCCGATGCCCACCCTCAACGCCCTGAAAGGGGAGGGGACACATCAACAGACAACTGACATGCAGAGTGACACGTGACACCACCGGGAACACAGTCAGTGGACAGGGAGCCCCAAGGAGCAGGGGCCATGCACACAGGCCTTCACTTCTGTTAGTGTCCCTCAGCCGAAGGCCCTCAATCATCTGGGGTGCCTGATTTGAAGTTAACCTTTTATTTCTTAATAAAGATATAATACTTCAAACAAATAAATATTACAAATGAAATTTTCAGGTGGAAAAACAATTTAGTTCCGCACTTTCACACTGAAATGCCCTCCTGTCTTGATACATCACCCCTCCTCCCCGCTGGGCCACCCATGTGACATCACATGTTCTGGCTCTTCCAAATCTGGGGTGAACTCACTTAATTCATGCAGGTTTAGTGACACAGAAGACACTGCGATGTGAATGCTACTAAAAGGCACAATCACTAAGTCTGTCCTTCCTTCCTTCCTCCCTCAGTAAACACACTGCTTAATCTATGCCAAATAACAAATTGTAAACAATTCATAGAACTGTTTGCATGTGACCTGGTGCTCCCTGTTAGTTTGCCTGTTTTGGATTTGTGATAAGCCTTCACCAGTTCTGCTTGGCCCCTCTTTCCAGATAGTGCATGAGGAATATTGCAGAGTACCTCAGGATAAAGGTGTGTCTGGAATTCCGTTCAAACAGGGGCTTCTCTGAACAGTAGAGCTCTTTGGTTTCTGAAAGTCCATTTTCACCACATAAAACAATGTAAACCTTCAAACAAAGCACAGGGAAGAGCACAGGACACTTCACAGCAGACACTAATCAATGCTCTCCCCAGCCCCCCATGCTCCCACAAACCAGGGTGACGTGCCACAGCCTGGGGCCCAGGGGGACCATGGAGATGCAGCAGGGTCCTCCGCATCCCTGGGTTCCCTGGAGAGACCTGGAGGGGGCCCCAGAAGTGGAGCTTCAAGAGGTCGGCTGGTTTTTCACATATTTCATCTGGAAAAGCCAGATCCCAACTGGGACCCATGAAGGCACTTAGCGCCTTAGGCTGCAGGAGAGCACAAAAGTGGTGCCAAATCTTTCTCCCCCCAGCTTGGCCAGGAGACACTGGAGGAGGCCTGGACATTGGTACAGAGCCGGCAGGGAGAGGGGCAGAGACATGCTGGCCAGGCTGGGCTTGTCACTCCTCACCGGTGTGGTCTGTTGACATGGAAATGTATAGTTCCGATTTGGTGTAATTTATCAAGCTATCATTTAAGAACCAGAATTACTTCTTGTTTTTGAAGTCTTTCCCCCTCCCAAAGTATATATATTCTTTATCTTTTCTTTTTTGTAGAGATAGGGGTCTCGTTATGTTGCCCAGGCTGGTCTTGAACTCTTCCTACCTCACCCTCCCAAACTGCTGGAATTATAGGTATGAGCTACACCCATCCTCAAAGTATATAGTTTCTAAATTGTGTATTTTCACCTTTCCGTGACTAGTATTCTGGAGTTTAACTTCTGTGTGTAAAGATTTAATATTACCTTTTCCTACAAGGACAGTCATTGTCCTAAAATACTTCCTGGAACTTTCTACCCTTTCCGTCTGGTTTGTGAGACTTTCCCTGACACTGGTTCTGCAGTCTCTAATTTGCCTCACAAATGAATCCACTGGTCCATGTCCTGACAGCACTACCCTGTCTGAACTATGACAGCCTCAAAATAAGCCTGGACAACTGTGGCGAGTCCCCTCCCTGCTCTTCTCTTCAGAGTTGGTGTGACTGTTCCTGCAATTCTGTACTCTTGTGTTCTCTTCCACCTAAATTTTAGAATAACTTTTTCAAGTTCCGCAAAACATCTTCTCATTGAATTTAATTTCCTAATTCTGTAGTTTTTCAACTGTAAAATGGGGTATATTAATAGAGCTTAATTCACATTATTATTAATTAGTTTGGAAGAAATGACAGAAGCAGATTAGTTTTCCCATCCATGAATAAGCGCAGCTCTTTATTTAGGTCCTTTAAGTACGTGCACTGGGGAAATTTTGTTGTTGATGGTCTTACAACTGGGGTTGGTGAACTTACTCCTAGGCGTCCCACCACTTTGTGACTGTGATGAAGAGGCTGTGGGTCCCACCTCCCACCCTGACGGATGCACAGGCTATGGGAGGGGGCGGGGAGGGCAGGTGAACCTTGTCACCACTGTGACAGGTGACAGGGCAGGCAGGCAAATCATCAAACTGTCACTTCTGGTGCCACCCTCACACCTACCGACACCTTTTGAGATGCTAGGAAAGGGTGCCCAGAAGGCACCGAGTTACCTTGGAGGTGAACCTGGCCGGGGCCCGGAAGCCAGTGTCGATGACAACCGCATACAGTGAGTGGCCTGGTGGGGGTGCTTCCTGCAGAAAGATGTACCCGGCTTTCTTCATTTCATAATGATCTACTCGTCTGCTTTTAGCAACCAAAAAGCCATAAAAAATCATGAAAACCACAATAAAAATGCCAAGAAGCAGGTTTTCTGGGTGACTGTAAACAAAAGGAAATACAAAGAGAATTATTCATTTTATTCATAAAAATAGACATTTAAGAAAAAACCGCCCCACATGCAGGAGCCCCTCAGGTCTTTATGGTGTTTCAACATGATGGCTGCTGTGTCCGGGGGCTTCGGAAGGCACAGAAGACCAGGGGCGGGCACCCCTCGAGCACAGACTGCAGAACCAAACAGGCCCTGTGATGCCTCAGCCACGAGCCAGGAAGCTGTGCTGTGGGATCTGAGGGATGTCACCGTGAAACGGAACAAGGACTGAATGACGAGATACATGTGCAGGTGACGTGCAAGATACAGAACAAGGACTGAATGACGAGATATATGTGCAAGCAGAACAAAGCTGGGAGGTGCTGGAGACATTGTGGGGACCCCTCCCACCTGCCCTGGGGGTGGCCACTGCTTATTCTCTGTCTTTAGGCTCCACTCACCTATTCCCAGACACCAACCCTGGCCCCGGGAAGGAGCAGTGAATCCCACAGACCCACAGGAGGTTCATATCCAATCTCGCCAGCCAGGACTCTGACCTAACACCGGGTCCCCCGGACTAGTCTTGCAGATGTTTGAGGGGTTCTCAGAGGGTAGGCACTGATATGGTTCTGCGGGGTGTCACCCTCTCTGTCCCCTGACATGCTGTCTGAGGGTGGGGCGCTCCCCGTTTCTTGCCTGGCACTCTTCTTCCCCACCAGAGCTCAACCCCACTGCTGGCCAGGGTGCTCACAGCTGCCCAGCTCTAGCCTGTCCATCTTCCCACTTCTGGAAGCTCTCGGTTTCTGGCCAAGAGTCCCAGACACGACTCCCCCTGAGAGACTTCAGGTATTCTCCATCTGCACTTCCCTGAGGATGCCGCCCTGTGGTTTCCCCCACTCCAGTGGCCTCAGTGCAGCAGAAAGTACAGTCAAGGCCACTGTGCCCCAATCCTCATCACGGGGCAACTGCTGACCTTTTCCGGGGCTAGCATCTGTTGCATTAGTAATTAACATCCTATTTACTAATTATCTGACCCACCAACTAGTTGACAAAATAATATTATTGATTTAATGATAAAGTAAGGCAGAGTTTTCTATTAGATGAAGAGAAAAAAAAATCCTTAACACTCCAGAAAATACCACTTAGCCTTAGACAATCATTTCACAAATATTTACTAAGTTCCTGTCATGGGTTAAGTGTTACCTTAAACAAAGAGGAACACTGATGAATAAGACAGGGAAGGTTCCTCCCCACACAGGCTGACATTCGACACACCCATATTTCAGAATCTGTAGACGGTCATCCCATATAAAACAGTGGCTATGAAAATAGTGTAAATTTTAAATTTATTATCCAATATGGGATACTTCTGAGAAAGATGAAGCTATTAATAATTAGCCTCTAAGAATAAGCATAAACCAGGACAGGCAGATGAGGCAGTGTCCTCACTGTGGATATTAACCCAGCCAGGAACAACTGACCACATTAATGCTGAACTAAAGCCAGACTGTATGATAACTTGCTTGTAAATCTTATCTTATAAATCTCTTCTCAGTAAATGTAAATACAAGTAGACAGTGGAATATAATATTCAATTATATAATATTTTAAGCTAGTTTACTAATATCCATATTTCAGAAAAATATAATAAAAACATGGATTGCAAGCGTCCACTGAATCATATCTGGGCATTCTGAATGAACAGTGAAACACACAAAGTAAAGTCTATTAAGTCTTGATTCAGAAAACAAAACATACCTCTGTAACTGGGAAATGTCACTTGCTTCATAACTGGCATTCAGCCTTCTTCGCAGGACAGAGAATGCCGTAGCGAGGCGATCATAACTAGGAGGGAAAAGCTGGTTAGGGCCCCAAATGTGTGGTTAGAGCAGCTGTTTACAGTGCGATGGCACATTGATTAAAAGAGGTGTAAAAAGGCAAACAAGTTGCAATGATTATGCCTTTATGATTTAGACTCAGTTTAAAGTATTCACCTAGAAGCTAGATAAATCAAGAGACCCTTCTGATGTGCCAGCCATCTTCATGTCTGAGTGTTGGGGCACTAAGTTCCCTCAGGGACTTTCCTGAGATGCCAGGTGTGGGAGCGAGCACAGACTCCGTGACAGGCCCAGCCACAGCACAGCTGCAGCCAGAGACACTCAGGAGCAAAATCCCAGCCTGACCTCTGCAACTAGTCACACTCTATAACCTTTGCCTAAGTGCCACTTCATGGCTTTACAAATATCCCATCATTGGTTACTCCTACCTTGACAATCACTATAAATGTCTTTTTTTCTTTTTAAGTAAAACCTATCTCACCCTCGTTATCTTGTGAGTAGGTTCCATGTATTACTCCTTTTTGTACCCCCAACTCATAGGAGTACATAACGGAAACTGGATGACTACATTAATACCTTTATCAATAATATAAATTGAAACAAAATACTGGGCCATTGCCAGTAAATCCAAATGTCCTAGCTATGCCTCATATAAATTTAAGGGTGCAGCACAAGGAAGGAATGACAACTGGGAATTGCACCAACAATTTCTATACACCAAAACCTGTGTGATCTGGACAGGTTTGCCTCTTAGCAGGCAAGCACAGAACGCAGCTTCTCAGGTCTTAACTGTTCTTGAAAAGGAGATGAATATTTCTATCCCTAAACATGCTTAATAATTGTTCTCACTAACAGGGTAGGTAAAGTTCCATTTTAGAAGAGAGAACAACATAACCTAAAATTTGACCTAAAAATTGTACCCTCATATTAATTTGAATAAAAAAGAATTGCTGATCTCTATCCTAACGAAAAAGTAAGGAAAACAAAAATGAATGAACTGAGGCTCTCCTAGAATTGTTAGCTTTCCAGCTAGACTAGATGATAAAGAATTTATAATTTAATGACATGACTCATATTTCCAGAAATTCGTGAGAAGGCCGCTGGTGTCCATGTGAAGATGTTGCTTGCCTTAGAAAGCTCACCTTCACAGGCAGGGTGGGAAGGGGGCCTCCTCCACAGATAAGGGGCTGGTAGGGCCTCAGGGGGCAAAGGAGAGAGCAGAGGGCCCTGACTGCCTGATGACAAATGGCTCACTCACAAGAGCACACACCTCTGCAGTCATAGAAGTGACGGGGTCACCTGTCATTCACCTATTGATTCATTTCTTCAATTGACATTTACTAAACACCTGTCACATGCCAGTCACCACAGAGTTGGGCACAGGGGCAATCTACAAACTAGCTCCTGCTGCTCTGGAGCCGCTCAGAGGGGAAACAACAGCCACTTATAGGCACAGGCTGGAGAGCTGTGAAACCAAGAGTGTCTTAACTTGGATGGGAGGACAAGATTGAGGAGAGGATCCAGGCTGGGCCAAATGCAAAAGAAAATGCAGTCACTTGCTAAAAATCTCAGATTCTTTCTCAACAGTGTGTCTATACCTGCAGTTAACTTTTCCAGGAGAAGTTCCCGGTTGTGGAGAGAAACTTCCAGACTTCCACTCTTTCTTATCCCAAAACAGGCATCGGATCCATTGGAAATGAATGGTATAGTTCACTGCCTTCACTAAATATTTGTTTGGAGCTTTTCTGTCATAGTCAACATCTAATAAGGATAAATAGCCTATGTTGGCATCTAAAAAGAGAAATAATAAATTGAAAATATGACCTGAAGTTTGCAGAATGGCATATTTCATTCCAAACCCAGACAGAGCCATAGACATCGGGATAAGAATTGAAAAGTGAATCATATCCTGGCCACTTCTTGCCCCTGGAGCATTCAATATGTGGATTAAATGCTGCATCCAGTCAAATCTCTTGGCTGCAGATTTTTATTTGGGAATGGCAGAGAACTGGGAAAGAAAACGGTGTTTCTAGGACCCTCCATGTCCCAAGTCCCCTCAACAGCCTGAACAGGTCAGCCCATGCCCTAGAGGGATGGAGAGGGTTGGGACAGGTTGCCCAGCTGCCGTCCAGGTCCACGTCCTGCTTCTCCCTGGCTCCTCAGCAGTCTGCCACGTCTCAGCACACTCAGAGTCTGAACCCAGCTTGGAAGGGGCAGCACACTGAATCATGTGGTTTTAGACTATCACTGTTAAACAATTTTTATGTTCAGTAGCAAAAGTATTTAACCTTTCAGTTATGTAAAATTTGCTTTTAAGATTTTTAATAAATGGTACTGGGCAACAAGCTATTACCCCTTTCTAACAATATGGAAAAAGACAGACTTTATGCCACATTATGAATACCGACCAATCAGGAAACTAAATGTAAAAAAAAAAAAGAACTATACAAGTATGAAAACAACACATGAATAACTTCTTTTATAACCTGGATATAAGAAACAAATTTTTGACTATGGCTCTAACTCTAAAAATCATACAACAAAATGTTGATAAATTGCTATTTCAAAAATAGCCCTAACATAATAAAGAACTCTAAAGTCAAGAAACAGAAGTCCCAAACAGACCAATACCAAGCAGTGAGATTGAAATGGTAACGACAAATCTACCGACGAAAAAGGCCTCAGACCAGACAGATTCACAGTCCAATTCTACCAGACCAAAGAGAAGAACTGGTCCTTATTCTACAGAAGTTATTGCATAACATCAAGAAGTAGGGGATCCTCCCTAACTCACGCTAGGAAGCCAGTATCACCTTAATGCCAAAGCCAGGAAAGGACACAGTAAAAAGAGAAAACTACAGACCAATATCCCTTACGAACATAGATGCCAAAATCTTTAACAAACCATCAAACCAAATTCACCAGCACATCAACAGGATAATTCACCATGGTGAAGGGGTTACATCCCAAGGATGAGAGGACGGTTTAACATATGCAAATCAATAAGCATGAGTCACCACATAAACAGAAGCAAAACCAAAGACCACACAGGTGATTATCTCGATAGATGCAGACAAAGCATTTGTTAAAATTCAACACAATTTCTTGATAAAAGCCCTCAACAATCTGTGAAGTATAGAACATAGATGTTTAGGCACAATAATCAAGTAACTGAGGTGAAAGCTATGATGATTGGTTTGATGTAACCACGTCAGATTGTATAAAAAAAAATCAGCACATTGTACCCCACATATGCATGAATGTATTCATGATCTATGTGTATGTGACTTAATAAAATATAAAAAAAAACCTCAACAAAATAGGCCTAGAAGGAAAATACCTCAAAATAATAAAAGCCATTTATGACAAACCCACAGTCAACTGCATCCTGAATGGGAAAAAGTTGAAAGCTTCCCCCTAAGAACCAGAACAAGACAAGAGAGCTCACTCTCACCACTTCTATTCAACATCACACTGGAATTCTTAGCCAGAGAAAGAAATAAAAGGTATCTAAATTGGGATAGAGGAGGTTAAACTATCCCTATTCACTGATAATCTTGTTTCTGGAAAACGCTAAGACTCCTAGAAGTGATAAGTACCTTCAGTGAAGTCTAAAGTTACAAAATCAATGTGTACAAATCAGTAGCATTTCTACATACTAATAACAGACAAACTGAAAGTAAAATTAAAGATTCGATACCACTTACAATAGTTACAAAGACATAAAATACCAAGAAATATATTTAACCAAAAAAGGTGAAATATCTCTACAAGGAGAAGTACAAACTTATAAAACTCTGAGGAAAGAAATCATAGATGACACAAACCAGTGGAAACATATCCCACGCTTATGGTTTGGTAGAATCGACATTGTTAGATGCTGCCCAGTGTGGTTAGATTCAATGTAATCCCCATCAAAACACCAGCATCATATGTTGTAGATCTAGGAAAAATAATTCTATACTCCATTTGGAACAAAAATGAAACCCAAATAGCCAAACAATCTCAAGGAAAAAGAAAAAATCTGGAAGCATCATATTATCAACTTCAAATTATTCTACAAGGCTATAGTAACCCAACAGCATGTTCAATGGAACAGAATAGAGAATCAAGAAATAAAGCCATATACCTTCAACTGATCTTGACAAAGCAGATAACATCATACACTGGGGAAAGGAAGCTCTGGTCAGTAAGCGGTGCTGGGGAAAGTGAACAGCCACATGCAGAAAGAATGAAATAGGACCCTCATCTCTCATATACAAAAATTAATTCAAAATAGAGAAAACAGTCAAATATAAGGCATGATAACATAAGAATTCTAGAAGAAAACATAGGAAAAATATTTCTAGAAGATGACCTAGGCAAAGAATTTATGACTAAGGCCCCAAACACAAATACAGTAATAATAAAAATAAATAAATAGGACTTAATTAAATTAAAAAGCCCTCGCACAGCAAAGGAAATAATCAACAAAGTAAATAGACAACCTACAGAATAGGAGCTATACATCCAATAAAGGGCTACTATCCAGAATCTACAAAACCTCAAACATATAAGCAAGAAAAAACAACCCCCTTAAAAAGTGAGCAGAAAACATGAATAGAAGCTTTCATAAAGAAAATAGGCAAATGTCCAACAAACATATGAAATGAAAACAAGCTGAACATGACTAATCATCAGGGAAAGAAAAATTAAAACCACAATGGGATACCACATCACCCCTGTTAGAATGGCTTTTATTAAAAAGTCAAAAAAAAAAACAACAAACCCCAGATCCCCACTCCGATGCAGAGAGGAATGCTCATACACTGTTGATGGACAGCAAATCGGTACAACCTGCATGGGAAACCGTATGGAGATTCCTCAAAGATCCAAACGTAGACTTGCCGCTAGATTCTACTGCCCAAGGGAAGTCATTTTATCAGAAAGACACCTGCCCGTGAGCGTTTATGCAGCACAGTTCACAACTGCAAAGATGTGGAATCAACCTAAGTGCCCATCAATTCATGAGGCAATAAAGAAATGTGGTGTTTATATGCCACGGAGAACTACTCAGCCATAAAAGAAATGGAATAATGTCCTTTTTAGCAACTGGGATGGACCTGAAGATGATGATCCTAAGTATCTCAGGAAAGGACACACACACCGCATGCACTCTCTCATGACTGGGAGCTGAATGATGGGCACACAGAGGCACAGAGAGATGTAAAGGACATTGTAAACCACGAAGGGAGTGGGACGGGAGGGCTAAAGGGAACAGACTCACCTACTGGGTACACTACTCTGGTGGCAGCCACACTAAAAGCTCCAACTGGAGCAGAGTCAAGGTATCCATGGAACAACATTTGTACCCCCTTTATATTTCGAAATAAAGAAAAATACATTTTAAATTCTCAAGAAATAAAAAAATATGAAGAGCTATAGAAGGTATTTGGGGAGATTTCAAAGATTTAAAAATGACTTTCAGAGTAGATAGTCTTGGTTCTTTTTCATTATGATAATGGTACTGAGTTGCTGAGAACGCCCTTGTTTTATGAGACATGCATTGAAGTACTTAGGGGTGCTGGGCCACGAGTTCTGAAACTTTCTCTCCAATGGCTCATCCTCCTCATCACAACCCCCACCCCATACACACATGTGCATATACACATGTGCAAGTCAAGTAAATGTGGTAAAAATGTCAGAAATGGTGAATCTTGATGAAATGGATGCAAGTGTGTGTGCGTGTTAGACATGTTTTTCTACCTTTCCATCAGCTTAAAATTATGAATAAAAATTATGATAAAAATTATGGAAAAGAAACATTAAATGCAAATTTTTTTAAACTGTCATTGAGAATTTGAATTTGGTTAGCAATACAGTTTGACCTATTTTTTAAAAGAAATCATGATTGATTCTTAAAGGAAAATAATTATTCTGCAGTGAAAACAAAGAGAGGATGGGACTGGGCCATTCACCTGCTAGTCAGAAGCTCACCCTTCCTTTCATGGCCACAGCTTGCTGGAAATCAGTCTAAAGCAGGCGTCTGACTAGTCTGACTGGTGCAGTCACATCAGCACACTGGGCTCAGTTTCTTCCTTTTCAGGGGAGGTCACTGAGGCTTTGAAGCCTAAGTCGCCAGAGGCAGAGTAACGTGAAGGGGCAAGCCCCAAACTTAACACTTTCTGCCAACTCCTGGCTGACACCCTGCCCTGACACTGCTTCAGAAGGGGTCATGTTCTTTCTGTTCATACATGAAATAAAGAGACACCTTGGAAGTCGTGGCTCAACCTCTTGATCAGGAAGGCTCAGCACAGGCTAGTTTGAAGCCAGAGATGGGGGGCGCGGCAGGCAGAGGGCAGCCCCAGCAAAGATGGAGCTGAGAAGCAGGAAGCGGTGGGTCGGAGGCCTGAGGCCACGAGCAGCAGGCTGGCCCTGCACTGCTTGGGGTGAGGATCTTAATTCCTTATGGGTGGATTCCATGTGCTGGCTATTTGAGGGATAGTTTGCATACAAGCAAGCAGAGAAACGATTTTGATGTTTTTAAAATGAATATAGAAAAATACCACTCTGCAAACAAACGTATGTTACACAGAATGTTTTCCTCGCACAAACAGAACTGAAAATTATCCACTGACCTTTCTGTGAAACAGCAGGTACATACATTTGTATAACATTCTCATCCCAGAAGTAGATCTGTTTCACAAGAAAGTCAGAAGGTGTAGGTTTCTCTGAGAATCTAGGAGATAAAAACAACGCAGGAGTGTATCATTTTTTTTCTTTCTCAATGATTTTAGTTAGACCTCTCTTTCAAGGTTTTAGTCAATTTTTGCAAAACATCTATTTCACTTCCAGGAGGTAGCCTGGGCTAACAGAGGTCACTATGCTTATTCTGAAGCATCACTTGGTCTTTTAATAGAAACTTCCATATAATACTTTCATCCCTCATTTCATTAAAAAGTAAAAAGTAAGAAAAAGTAAGAAAGAAGGTTAAGGGCAGCATCTGTGGCTCAAGGAGTAGGGCGCCGGCCCCATATGCCGAAGGTGGCGGGTTCAAACCCAGCCCCTGGCCAGAAACTGCAACAACAACAACAAAAGAAAGAAGGTTAAGGACGACCATCACGGTCTGTAAGAATAAAACAAATGGTGGTGGCTCCTGGTTGGGGCACGACTGCCCATGAGCACATTGGCATGTTTGCACTAACTCTTTACATAACCTGTTAACAGATAAAGGATAGTAAGCACAACACAGTTAGGCTAAGACGTTTCTCAGAAGCTTTTTACCTTTTCCCTGTCTGACTTAGAGTTAAGTTGAAATCCAAACTCTGAGCAAACAGACACTTCCAGGCATTTAATGACTTAGTTGGCAGAATTAGAGTCAAGCCAACAGTAGACACTAAACCTCTCTTTGAGGGCTGTGCGGACAGCTGAGACACAACTCGTTGAGGGCTGTGTGGACAGCTGAGACACAACTCTTGCTCATGGTGCCCCTCAATCTAGTTGAAATGCCCACCAAACTAATCAGGGGCAATCAAACAGCTAGCATTTGTCAGGAGGCCTGAACACATGAGGACTCAGAGCAGAAGTGATGGAGACTTTTGCTCATCCCAACCTACCACAAACTCTGCAAACTGGTGGTTCCCACTAGCGTATTTAAAGTCTTGTTCCAAAGAATCTTTTCAATATTCACTTATTTAGCCTTCTGATGTAATTCAGTTGTAAAATGGGGCCCATTCAAGTCTCATGAACTCAATGTCCATGAGAAAGATGATTTATTAAGTTACCTTAGAGCAGTGATTTTCAACCAGTGTGCTAAGGATATCGGTGTGCTGTGAGAGGATCTTGTGTGCCACCAAAATCTTTAAAAGTCATTAATTAAATTAATTTCAAAAGGCATTCAAAGTACATCAAGTATATTCTTTCTTTTTACTCTTATTTTTTATCAACATAATTTAAATATGCTTAAGTTTAACTATAGGTTCAAATGTGTCCTGAGATTAAAAAAGGTTGAAAAACACTGCTTTAGAGACAAAGATTTGAAGACATTTTCTCCTTTTGGAAAAAAAAGAAATAATAAAAATAGAATTCTTGCCCAACTTTATGCTAAGAGAATAAGATTTCTAAATGAGAAAAGATTTCTGTCAGTATAGTTACTAACAGTTCCGACATTCTGTTTCTCCAACAAATGATAATAAGCAAGATTCCAATCTCAAATGAATAAATAAATAAAACAAAGTAAGGAAGTTTATTGTCTGAACAGCAGAATATGTTATAATTTCTTTAGACAATTAGCTTCATTATTGCTTTAAAAACAATTAACTCACTGATTTTTTTCACATTCTTAAGGATGCTGTTTCTTGGTCCAATCTCCCCCACTGTGGCTGTCACCATCAACATACCTTACTAGTAACATGATGGGGAAGGCTCTAGTGATGGGTTTAGAAAATCTGATTTCTATCTGCAGAGATTCCTGGGGGTTTTCAGAAAGTCCAGTGAACTGATGGAAATTTACTTTATCCCGAAGCAATACAAATGTTGTTGTATTTCTCCTCTGATCCTGTCATCCAAAGGAAAACAAGCTAAGCAAAGTTTGCCTTTGAGAAAGTCAATGCATTAAAAATCACCCCTGACGGGCTAAAGGGAGCAGAGGCAGAGGGGACAGGCTCTCCTTACTGGGCTGACTTCCTCCTCAAACTCCAGGGCCAGGGGTTTCCTTAGCCATTGTCTGTTGATGGGCCTTTTGCTGGAGCAGTTGTAGAGGGTGAGGCCAACAACTCCACTGATCTTAGGAAACAAAGACCATCTCAGAGCAAACCACAGCAAACAGCAGACTTACGTGAAGTATAGTGACGCTACTGCTACAATTACGTAAAGTTATGCACCTGATATCAGAGCCTGGCATAGAAAAATATAACCAGTTTTACTAGTTAAGACAGCAGGGGGTGAATTTAATGCTTCCTTTGTATTACTTGGATTAAAATTAGTGACTTTTAAAGTCTTTTGAAGTATTTTTTGTTTTATACTTTAAAAGCTCACACCAAAAATATCTGCTCATTGTACATAATCAGAAAGTTATAGAAAGGTGTATAGCAGGGTTTACACAGACTAGTTGGCCTGTAATCCCGTCACTGAGAGAAATCGTATTTGAGGATGCTGCCTGCCAAACTTTTTCTACGCATTGAGTCTATCCACACTGGGGATCATCTTCTCTATTTTTGCACAAAATCTTCTGGTTACTAAAATTCTCTTGTGGACATAATTTCAACTGGCCATAAATGAACTGTATCCCTATGTTGAACGTTTCAGTACCACTTCTATTTGGGTTATCATAAATAATATTGTTTTAAATAAATAAGACGAAAGATCCTGCTCTGAATAAATCTTTCCTCATGTTCTTGGTATGTATTCCTAATAGGTATAACAAATTCTTGATTTCTGGGGACAAAGTGCTTTCCAAAAGGTCATACCAAGCAATGCCGTGGATCCCTCACTGCACTTCCACAGTGGAATTTTTAAGTACAAATAGTCTGACTTATGCACAACTTGCACTTACAAACAAAGGCTATTACAGTACATCCCGAGTCACAAATGTCTGATTGACATATGACTCACACTTAACAAATGGAGGCTGTTACAGGCTAATATACCTGTTTCAACTTACATACAGATTCAACTTAAGAACAAGCCTGCAGAACCTATCTCATTCATAACCCTGGGACTTGCTATAATTGTTGTACTTTTGCAAGTTAAAAATAAATCATTTTAATTTCTGTTTCTTTATTGTTTCAATTATTTTTATATGCTGATTAGCCATTTATACTTCCCTAAATATATATATATATATGCTAGAAGTTTTGGCCAAAATAAGATATACCCCTTGAATTTATCCTTTCCTTCATCAGACATTTATTGGGTGCCAAATGAGCCAGGTACATGTTCCTGGGCTGGGAGGCTGGGGAGCAGAAAATACTGTGAATCCTCACCCTCTCCTCTTCCAAACTCACCCTGGGCTCATTCCCAAGGCCTCTGAGCTTTGCACAGTGGCAGCATCGTAGCCAGTGAGGTCTATCCTCGGCACGATTATTGCTAATTAAAACACAAGACCTCTGAATGTGGAAGGTGAGCTCTACAAAATTGCCATGTCACTGGAGAAATTCCCCCTGACTGCCCCACCTTCACATCACCCTCTCACCCTGCTCCCCTCTTCTGCCCACCCTCCCAGGAGCCAGGGACCACCTGCTGGATTGACCCAGCTGTGCCTCTCAAGTGAGCGGGAAGGAAAGAGATGAGTCCTGGTGTGTCCTCGGCAGCACTTTCTGCAGCTTCACTGAAGTGACACTGTAGGTTATTTCAGACCTGTCCAGAGACATGACCGGCCGCATCATCACTGCACCTGACTCTCTCTGACGATAGATTAGAGAGCCCACAGGAAATGCTGAACGGGCCGCAGACCCAGCCACCAGCAGCACCTAGTTTGGCTAGGATTTTTCTGGAGAAACTAATCTTCCAAGAGAAGTGGATACAGTCACATGTTCTAAGTGGCCCCTCTCTTAGGAAACTGAAAAACAGGTGCAAATGCGCCAACCTTGTCTCTCTTTGTCACTAAAGCTCAATTACTGCAAATTCAAGGTGGCAGGTCATCCACCACCACGTACCTGTCCAGGAGCTTGGGGCTCTGGATATGGGCTCTTCTTGAAGAGTACGAGTTGGCTAATGTAGCACGGACTCTGCGTTTCTGCCCCAGCAGGACTGTGCCCAGTGAGATCAGCAGGTAAATGCACCTGGACGGAGCCCAGGCTCTGGACAGAGCTCTGAAGGTTGTGATGAAGAAGCGTCTGGAACTCCATCTGCCCAGCGCTAATGTGGGTCAGTGCCAAACAGCCCTGAAACACAGCAGGAGGAGTGACCACGGCAACACAAAGGACCAAACTGTCTGGAATCCAGACAGGGAAGAGGGGAAAATAATGGAAAAGACCTCCCATCACACGTTGGACTGGATTCATTTGACTGAGCAAAAGTTTTTTTTAATAATAGTAATTTTTTTTTGAGATTAATACAATAGAACAAATGTTTAGGTTACATTGTTTTCATTTCTAAGGTAAAGTTCAAGTTGTAGTTGAGCTGGTCACCCAGGGGGCCGTGCTGAACACCCTCACATTGGGCACATTAGGTGGGATCCCTCCGGTCGCCCTCCCTCCTCCCCCCTCCCCTCTTCCTTACTAGACTATGCTTGTGTTTTTATTTCAGGTGGTTGTTTGGTTGTTTATATATTGGTTTCAAGTTAGTGACTGAGCAAAAGTTTTGGTACAGGATATAAATGGCAAATAACAGTAAAACAAACTGTTTTGACTCATCTTTCTATAACATTGTATTCATTTTTTAGCAACCACTGTGCTTCTTGGGGATTCTTAGCCATCTACAGACAGTTCTGATACTGTGCTTATTTCTATAAGACAGAGACTTGGCAGGAAACTCGAGTGCAGGGCCTTGGGGCTCAGTGTGGGGTGGGTGTGTGACAAACGTTTTTAAATGTACTAATGAATAATGACAGTTATAATTGCTAGGTTAAGATAGAGTATTCACTTGCTTTCTAATTTCCCAAATATTATAGTAACTGTCAGTTAAATAAACCATAAGACTGGATAAGAAGGATGATAATTGGTAGAAGAGGAACAAAAGCCTGTTCTTGAAAGCACTGGAAATTTCCTAAGGTTAAAAAAAAAAAAAAACTCTGAGACAATTTCTCAAAGATATTGGAGCAAAAAAAAGAAAGAAAGAAAGGAGTATTTTTGGGGGGTTACACATCAACAGAGCTACTTTTAAAAATAATGCATGCGTCCGGGAGTGGTGGCTCACGCCTGTAATCCCAGCAACTGGGAGGCTGAGGTGGTGGATTGTCTGAACTCACAGGCTCAAGACCACCCTGACCCAGAGCAAAACCTCATCTCTAAAGAAATAGCCAGGCACTGTGGCAGGCGCCTATAGTCCCAGCTACCTGGGAGACTGAGGCAAGAGAATAACTTAAGCCCAGAAGTTTGAGGTTGCTGTGAGCTGTGACGACATGGTACTCTACCAAGGGTGACAAAGAGAGACTTTAAATCTTTAAAAAGATTTAAATTTAATGCATGCAAGAAATCATTTGTATTAATTTAGGTCATTCCTCAAAAAACACAAGGTAACCTGAGCAATGTGTAGAAGCCAAAGTTCCCAAACATCTAAGTGGAAATCTCCAAACACAAGAGGGCTGAAGAGAAGCAAAGTTTCACTGGAAACATTAGAGTACTATCATGAAACACCTGAAATGCAAAATGAACATTTCCACATACTGAAATACTCCCCAGAACAGTAAACAGAGTGACTCTATGTTGAGTTTCGTGATTACGAACACAGGGTAACATCCTGAGAGAGGGAAGCAGAAGGAGAAGCATGACTTACGAGCAGTACATCTGTGATGATGGCGATTGCCTCTTCTCCCAGATAGTCCTGACCCCTGGATTGCTCTTGCTCAGAGATGTCCCAGACTCTGGATATGAGATGGATGAGATCCAGCCTGAGGCCTCTGTCAGTCACATACCTTCCCGAGAACCAGCCTTGAGCAAGGAGAGCCCGGGAGTACTTGAGGATGAGGACGGCACTCACACGGCTGAGCTGCATGGAAGGAAGAGCTGCAAGTAAAATGTTTCAGACACATTCTAACCTCTTTCATTATTACTGGAAATTAAAAACTACTGAAGTGGGGCAAGGAGAATTGAATTCAAGTCCAGTCTGGCAACTTCCTAAGTAAGCATTTGCTCTCTGATGCTCAGCTTCCTGACTCACAAAACGACCGGAGTGGTCTCTAACAGCCTTTCATGCTGTAAGATGCTGCTTGGTTTGGAGCCCAACAACCACACGGCAAATCCCTTCACATGCTGGCTGCAGCCTCCCTGTTCAGACTTCTCTGCTCCCAAGCCAGGCTGCAGCCTCCCTGTTCAGGCTTCTCTGCCCCCAAGCCAGGCTACAGTCTCCCTGCTCTCAAGCTGTCGAAGCTTCTTCTTGCTGCCTTTCATATTCCCTGCCTGAAGTATCTTCACCCTCCTTTGGCCTAGAAAAACCCTACTTCTCACCCTCTCTTTCTCTAAACTCTCAATATAGACTATTTTCTATATAGAAACATACACAAAATAAAGGAAGTAGTTTGGTGGTAAAACTGCCCACCACCCAACTTTAACAGGCATCATTCATGGGCAATAGTTTTTCTTACAGTCTCTACTCAAGATCTAAAAAAAGTTGAAAGCATATCTCAGTTTTTAAAAAATTTTTTTTGAGACACAGTCTCACTCTGGCTACAGTGCTATGGCGTCATAGCTCACAGCAACCTCAAACTCTCAGGTGCAAGTAATCCTCTTGCCTCAGCCTCTTCAGTAGCTGGGACTATAGATGCCAGCCACAACATCCAGTTAGGTTTTTTTTTCTATTTTTCGTAGAGATGGGGGTCTTACTCTTGCTCAGGCTGATCTTAAACTCCTGAGCTGAAGCAATCCATTGCCTCGGCCTCCCAGAGTGCTAGGATTACAGACACGAGCCACTGTACTCAGCCCAAATCTCAGATTATTATTTTTATCCACAAACACTTTATTATGACATAGTGCTGACAGATAACACTTTATGATAGTGCTAAAACCATGATTATAGTGCCATTATCAGATCTAACAAAATATGATTCTTTCTACTTACACTTGAAAACCAATTTCAAATGTCCACCAGACAAAGTTAGCTATGCTATCTCTGTGTTTCTGGAGAAGCTTCTCATTCTCCCAGTCAGCACAGTTACTGCAGGGTATCTGTTTCTACATTTACCTCCATTCACCATTGTTTAAAGACAAGGACTTAATTCTTTGTGACTTAGCAGGTCCTAGCAATTGCTAATAAATATGTGTCCAAAGAAATGAAATTAACACAATATTTTCAGCTATGCATACTTATTTAACTAAAAGGTGGCTTAGAAATATCTTTTAAAGTACAATTCTTTCACCAATAATAAAATTAATAGTTTGGAAATACATTTAAACTCCCATTAAAGGCCCGTATATATAAGATAACATCATCAAAATGGGACTTAAAATTGAAAGAATCATTTTTTGTCTAAAATAAAACAAGGCTCGGTGCCCATAGCTCAATAGGTGGGGTGCTGGCCACATACACTGAGGCAGGTGGGTTCGAACCTGGCCTGGGCCTGCTAAACAACAATAACAACTGCAACAAAAAAACAGCTGGGCATTGTGGTGGGCACCTGTAGTCCCAGCTACTTGGGAGGCTGAGACCAAAGAATGGTTTAAGCCCAGGAGTTTGAGGTTGCTGTGAGCTGTGATGTGACAGCACTCTACTGAGGGGGACACAGTGAGATTTCATCTCAAAATAAACAAACAGACAAATAAATAAATAAAATAAAACATGTACTTTAAAGAACATGGTATTCCCACTTTTCATACTGCCTATATTTTTAACAGAAAATATCAAAATGGTCACTTTAGAAATGACGATCAATCACATTCAGTTTTATTTCTCATCTGAAATAAGACTTGTGGCAGGTCCAGGTTTCAGAGACACACGAGAGAGGGACTATGCCACGGAAGTTTTCAGATTCATCCTCTTGAGCCTCATGTCAGGTCATTGCTGGGGAGTAACTGCATTTCCCAGGTCTTTGAGTCCAGGGGAGGCAATGTGACTGGTGCTTGCCAGGGGAATGGGAGTGCAGAGAGGTATGCTGCTCCCATGGCCACGTTCTGGACAGTGGTGGACCTTTACCATGCTTTAGTCCCCTGACTTAGGAAGCTGCGAGTGGAGATGTTGGAAGCACAAGATGAAAGCCAGAGTCCCCAGGTCCCCATGGGGGGGACCCCCACTGAACACCTGCTATGGAATGTGTGTGAGTAGAGAATAAAGGTCTGTTGTGCTCAGCTACTGCAGTCTCCGGGTGAGATGTGATAGCAGCTAGTGCGACTTAACTAATATGGTTTGTGTCTTACAAGGCTAAGTGGTCTAAATTTGGAAGGCAGATGTACAAAAATAAAGTAATGATAAATCAAAGTGTTAAAGTGCTTCAACAAAATCATCTGCATAGAAGCAAATGAACTCAGTCTTAAGGCTTCCATGAGGATGTTATGAAGCAGGGAACAGTTGAGTCCATCCTTGAGGAGAAGAAGTAACCTGCCCAGGTTAAGGGGAAGCATACTGTCTCAGGGATATAAGGAACTTCCAGAGTGACCGAGCATGGAAGCTGGCTCTGTGGGGGAGATGTAAGGAACTTCCAGAGTGACCAACCATGGAAGCTGGCTCTGTGGGGGGATGTAAGGAACTTCCAGAGTGACCCAGCACGGAAGCTGACTCTGTGGTGGGGGGATGTAAGGAACTTCCAGAGTGACCCAGCAC